GTTACCTGCGACTAGCCGAGAAAGATAAGGGTATCTTTCTCTTCCTTGTGGTAGGTATACGGGTTAGTAGATTTATTGTTCCAGTAATAAAAAATAAAGTAAAAGATTTACAATTTTAACTTTATAATCCAAAACTGGGAAAATTAAACTGGAGCGACTGTATATAGTTTCACTAAAAGGTGAAATTCACTTTTGCTAAGCAAAAGATTGTTCACGTCTAGTTCGCGATCAAATTACCTGTTTGCTGATTTACTTTTCACTCACGTATATACACAGATGGGAGTAGTGTTTGTCAACGTACCGAAAATAGGCACGTCGCGTCAAGAGAAAAAAGCGAACTAAGTATGTATGTGTAGGTACTTTAAGTCCAACCCGAAAACCTCTTGACCCATTTTATATAACAATAACACAACTGCTTGGCTTATACAATAGTTAACTTTTGTGAATTGTACAAGAAGCGCTCTTATTAGAATTAGTTGTAGGTGGTAATTATACTTAAAAGCTCATCTTACGAATGACAATCAGAGAATGAAAAACAATTGAAACACTAATTCTAGAAGCTTGGAAAGGCGCAGTGGCTGCTAGCAAATTAAACAAAATTAACAAACAAAAATAGCTTTAAAGCAAATTGTACATACACATAAAGTAAATGTAAAAGACAAAAAAGTGTGACGTCGACAGAAATGTGATTCCAAATATAACTATCGGAGAATTTCTTTTCCTTTTTCTTAAAAACTGAACGAGTTAGATATTTCTATGAAAATTTAAAAAATGAATATCACTGTCAATGTGTCAAGAATTTTATCAAATCTTTCAGTAAAGTTCAGAAATTCATTCATATAAATACACATAGTAATCAAATTATTGCACATGGAAATGTGTTTGTTCTGCTTTTTGAAGAACTTCATTAAGGATTCGCCCTTATTAAGAGCAACCTGATCAAATAAAATAATTCGAAGTGGTCTGTATTCTGTCGAAACTGCCAGACGCGGATNTTTTATACAGTATGTTTAAATCAAAGCACTAAATGTTTCTAGGCTTTTTCCTTTCCCTAGGCGAAACGTCGGACTTCGTTTAGTAATAAATAAAATTATTTATCCCTTATCGTGTTCTGACTTAAACATCTTCAGAAAATTAAAGGAAGATTTGGATATCATTAATACAGTATGTTCAAAATATTTCTAACTCAAAGTTTTTTTAAATTAAGCATACAAAAAACAGTTTCTTCTAAAAATATTCTTCATGTATCTATCAATGGTTTAGGAATCAGAGGTAGGAAGATACTTTGATAATGGTTGTGGAAGAATTACATTGTTAGAAGCATCTTTTTGATGTATAATTAACTTGCGATAACTGACTTCTTTAGATTGATTGGAAATAGATGAATATTTAGTTTAGCAGGGATATGAAGTATTAAAATCACGGGAATGAATACTACTTTTTTAATGATTAATGAATGAAAGATAATTACTAAGTAATACATTATTTACCATTGACTTAACTTATCATTTACCTGTCTAATTTCATTTATTTTAGACTTTTTTTATTATCTACACCATAAATATTAAAATAAATAATAAATTTTAACATTCGTTGGACTAACAAATGTTATTATGTGCACTATCTTGCTTGAACATTTTCTTTCATGTTTCTAACACGAGTGTTCTGATACAATGATTTTTCCTTCCAGCATCTGAGAAACTAAATGAAGAAGAGCAGACTCCAAAAATTACTGAAATTGTTGAATAATGCTTCCACTTTTCTCATTCTTCAAGCAATTTACCTCTTTATATCAACCCCTGCCCTGCCCTACCCCTCAACCAAAACTATTTGCCGAATTCGTCACTGCCTAATAATATACATAAATATTTAGAAATGTACATGTGCGTTGTTGTTTATAAAAATGGAGTTTTTCTTATTGCGAATTGTTATACAAGAGAAGATACGTTTTGTTGTTTAATTGAAGCACTTTTATATATCAATTCCAAATATTGTTGTTGCTGCTGATAATTCATATTGTGATAATGTTGTCATTTTAATGCACTACTCAATTCGAAAGGCGCTAAAGTTTCGAAAGTTTTGAATTAATAAATTTTATTTTCTTAGCANCCAGATGGAAACAGTGTACAGTAGATATCATTTATTACAACCTTGGTTGTAGCGACCATTTTGCTATAGCGACGTTAAATCTAAGTCCCTTAAATTTAAAGCATACTTTAGTACAAAATTCATGTGGCTATAGCGACATCGGATATAACGCCGAGTTCGGGTTTAGCTAATTAAAATGGTAAAGTTACAAAGTGCTATTCTGAGTAGCAACTGTGTTTAGTAAACTTTTGAATAAGTATGACTCCCAGATATATATTTACTGTTAAGAAAAGGCGAAAATACGTGTCTGTACCTCTTTAGTTTTACCCGTAAAGACTTCCGGATATAACGACGAAATTACAGTGGTGCCTTCGCCGTCGTTATGCCCGAAATCCACTGTATTTTTGTATCATCGTTATACAGAAATACTAAATCATTAAAAACGCGAGCGGATTCCTTTTGTTTGTTCTATTTTTCGTTTCTAGTTCTAATAATTTTAAAATAGAACAGGTGGAGATTTTGGTGGACTATCGTGTGTTTAATTGCTCATTCATTATGAATTTTGTTGATGGGACTCGGTGAATTTTTGGCACAAATACAACCCACTGCATATTTTTTCACTGTTACTCATAATCATGTTTTAAAATCCTACTTACACAAACGTCTCCCCACTATGGTCCCTAATCTGCGAAACGTGTTTGTTCACTTCTCATTAACGTGGAGTTTTCGAACGATTTCGCGAACTTTTTCGTGCGTGAATTTGTTGCAGTGTGTACGTAATTTTGTGACGTAGTCGTGAGTGCCCCCCCCCTCCCCAGATATCTGTAATCACTATCTGAGATGGTGTCACCACTTTTGGAACTCGTACCTTTTAACGTAGCTCACCATAAAGAGGTAAAAACAATCTAGCTGAGAAGAGATTGAAACAAAAATGAAAACTT